CCTCCATTTATCTTTGAAATTTCTTTACCATCTTTTAAGTTAGAACAGGTTAAAATATCGCTCGAAGAATCGTTTAAATACGCCATTTACCTAGAAGACTTTAAAATTGACAGACAAAATATCTATTCTATTCTCTTCGAAATTGCTCGATTACAGAGTCGCGCAGTGACGTAACGATGTAATTCCGCTGCTTGATCGCAGGTTCGCTCGGATGTACATTTATATTTGCAAAATAACGCAGTTTCATTGCTTTATTTCTCGAGTTGTATTAAACGTAAAGATTTTAGACTTGGTATGCAAAGTAATAATACAATACTCTTTCATTTGAGCCTAAGTTGTTCCGAGCTCTGACTTCCCCTTTAAAGTTCAAGTTTTATCGCTACGTAACTCGAGCAGCATTAAATACATTGCGCTAAAATTTCGCCAGAAGAGATTCTTTTACATACACTATTAATCTATGAAAAAAAAACGGGAGGCAAAATTTTCGTCATAGTACCACTTTAACAGATGCCAATAATATGCATGCTTGTTATTGGTGAATTAGAATAAAAACCAAGACCGATAGTTTGTGTGAAAAGTCAATGGAAAAGTCAGAACACATAAGCTAACATTACAAGCTGCAACATTTACTGGAATTGGAATTTGTGTCAAATTTTATCTGCTATTTTAAAAGAACTTTTTCACTGAGCGAATTTAGTTTTGTCACAACTTGGCTTAAGCAGCTGAAGCAAAATTAACTTGCTTTTGAAAAGTGCTCCCATATTGACCATTGTTTTCAATATTACAAAGTAAACTATAATACAATAAAAAGAAAACGAATTTCTAATGAAGGCAAAAGTAAAAATTGCCCACATCAACAAATGTTCTAAATAATTTCGTAAAAGCACTATAGCCAATACACATTTAATATAAACGACAACTTTTTTGAAAATAGACATGTTTCGACATCTCATGATGTCATCTTCAGTATGAATGAAATAATAGGTGATACAGGGTTTATATAAAAGTAATTTGATACATAAATTAGAACAATAAAAAGGAAGTAAGATAATATAATGAGGAGCGTCCGAGCGTATTATAAACTAAATATTGTATTGAATTTAAAAACTTGAACATTGAGGTCAGGGTTAGTTTTGTTAATGTGGAGTGCTTCCTTGATTTTAAGGGTGAATGAGGTGTCGGCAGTGTCGATGATTTTGAAACAAGAGGGTGAATACTTGGTTTTGCATGAGTGAGATTTAAGAAGGTGTCGGTAGATGTGAGAGTTTTTGTCTGTTGTGGTATGTTCCCTGATTCTGGTGGATAAATGGCGCGAAGTTTCGCCAATGTATCGGGAATTACATCCCGCGCAATTGAATTCATATACCACCATAGATTTAATTGAATCAGGGATTGGGTCTTTAAATGAAAAAAGGCTTTTGATTTTGAATGATGTGAAAATTAGTCGAATGTCAATATCTGTACAGAAGCGTTTCATAATGTTTGTAAGTCTGCGTTGTGTGTGTCGTGAGTAATGTCCGATGTATGGTAGTTTGAAGTATAGAGTTGTTATTTTGGAATTTTCATTTGTGTTGGTTGTGATCGTCGTGTCAGGAGTTTCGGTGTCTAGGTTGAGGTTGTTGCTATGTTTGTTGTCGAGATATCGTTTTACGGTTCTGTTAATAAAGTGAAGTGGGAAAGAGTTTCGTAAAAGAGTGGATGTGATGTTTTTTATGTCTCGTTGAAAGCCATTGTTCGTATTGTTAAGTTTGTATGCTCTGTCGATTAGTGTGCGTATAAGTCCGGTTTTGTATGAAAGTGGTGTGAAACTAAAATAGTTCGTCAGAAGTCCTGTGTACGTTGGTTTGTGGTATGTAGATGTTGTACAGCTGTCGTGAGATTTTGTTAGTAAAATGTCAAGAAATGGCAGTTGATCTTGTTGTTCAGTTTCAAAAGAAAATCTAATGTTTGCGTGCTGTGTGTTAATGTAATTATAAAACTTCATGGCCTCAGTTTCGTTAGTAAAAACACAAAAAATATCGTCAACGTTACCAAATTACCAAATACCTACATTACCAAATACCAAACATTACCAAATACCTACAAAAGACAATTGCCACACACCGGAAAAAACTAAGTAATCTCACGAGGAACAGAACCCTACCATTCACACACAACGAGACGATAACCAATCTATCATCACACCAATTAAAAGACGAAGAACTAGAACTCCTGAAAAATGGCCTTGGCTTCAGCATTAAACCACTGCGACTCAACTCAACCGACATTCTGGCAACATTCGAAAAAATCCACCAAACTATAAAACACAACATTCGCAATCAAGAAGACTACACGCATCTCAAAACAGAGCTGGCACACATCGCTCACTCGTACATCTCATCTTATCACCCGACACCAGCTGACTTCAAAAAACATCACATCCTTAAAAACATTCGCAACAATCCAAACATTATCATTCTCAAACCGGACAAAGGCAACGGCGTTGTAATCATGGATCGTCAAATGTACCGTAACTCCTGCCTTAAAATCATTAACAATACAGCAAAGTTTACCCCACTCAAAGAAGACGTCACACTACCACGTGAAGCCAAACTACAACGACTGTTAAGGAAGCTTCTAAAGAAAGACTCCATTAGCAACAAAGTTTATAATGATATCTTCCCCAGAGGTTCTCAACCCTCACGCTTCTATGGCTTACCGAAACTTCACAAGAAACGAGAACCAGAACAATCGCCTCCACTACGACCGATAGTTTCATCAATCAACGCATACAATTATAATTTAGCTAAGTATCTTAGTTCTCTACTAACACCACTCATACCAGATGACCACTCCACTAAAGATTCTTTCACTTTCCTCAACGACTTCTCATCTTTCAACTCATCAACTTCTTGTCACAAATTCTTCATCTCCTACGACGTTGAAAGCCTATTTACTAAAAAGCCTATTTGTAACATACCACTTACTGAAACCATCAACCTAGCAATCGACTTAATATTCACTCACAACCCCACGTTCAGTATAAACAGGACCGACCTCACACAACTGTTTTTAATAGCAACAGCACAGACGCATTTTTTATTTAATGGAAAATTTTATGACCAGACGGACGGTGTTGCGATGGGCTCTCCCTTAGCACCCATACTTGCTAACATTTTCATGGGCTCACATGAACGAAACTGGCTAAACAACTACAACGACACTAAACCACTATTTTACCGCAGATACGTTGACGATATCCCTAGAGGATAAGTGACGGGAAGTTTCACCAATGTATTGGGAATTACATCCCGCACAAACGAATTGGTATACCACCATAGATTTTATAGAATCAGGGATAGGATCTTTGAATGAAAAGTAATATTTGGTTTTAAATGAAATGAATTAAAGTTAGTCGAATGTTAATGTAAGGGCAGGAGCGTTTGATGATGTTTGTAAGTCTGCTTTGTGTGTGTCGTGAATGAGGTCCCATGTGCGGTAGTTTAAACTAAAGAGTTTTTATGGACTGTTCGTTGTTGTTGGTCGTGGTTGTTATATCGGATGTTTTAGTGTTTGCTTTGCAGTTAGTATAAGTTGTCATGGAGATTTCGTTGTACAAATTTGTTGATGAAGTGTAGTGGGAAAGAGTTGCGTAATAAAATAGATGTGATGTTCTTTAGGTCTTGTTGGAAGCCATTGCCGGTGTTGTTCATTTTGTATGCTCTGTCAATGAGTGTGTGTATTAATCCATGCAGTCTAGTATGAAAGTGGTAAAAAATGGAAGTAGTTTATCAGTAGTCCTGTGTATGTTGGTTTATGATACGTCGACGGTGTATAGATGTCATGTGATTTTGTAAATAAAATATCCAGAAAAGGTAGTTGGTTTGGTTATTAATGTAATTTAGTATTTTGGATATCGTGAAAAATTGGCCTAAAATGATAAAACAAACATCCCACCAGGAAGATGCTGAAATTGACGAAATTTTTTCCATACGAGTCTTTGACAAAGTTCGAAAGGTCTGCTAAATCATAAATACTTTACGACGTGGTGGCGTCCTAGAACCAGACTCCATGGGAAAAATTGACGACATCTTAGACGAAACGTCGTACGTTATTCTTATATCTTGTAAGCTGAGGTCCGTCTAACCCTCACATACTGAAGCTCTAGCAAATGATTGTATTAAATCTGGTGCATCCAGAAATGGTAGTTCTACTTCTGGTAGATGAAAACTTGTATCAAACTTATAACCAACTTTCTGTTTACGATCTGATATACAGAAAAAAAACAAAAAAGAACTAGTTTTATAATTGAAACTGTAAGAAATTCATTTATTTTACTATTTTTAGTCTTTTTACAAGACTGTGTTATGGTAGGGGATTTATGCACGTTTGTTCCTTCGACGACGTGCTCTTTTTGCTCGGTCATGAGAGGCAGAAGTTTTTGTTTTTATTTTACTATGTCCAATATTGACAGTTGGTGCCTAAGCATAGGAAGGAACAAAAAGTGAAGAGCCATAGCTACGAAAATAAGTATTAGGAATTTTGAAACTTACCAAATATAAAATGAGAACTGCAAACGCGTGTGTGTAGAAGTTTTTCTTCTGTAAAGTCCGCACGCGAGATGTTAGCAAGCACATTTTTCTGCGCTTTTCTGTTAACTCATGGGTTTTTTCCTTTGAGATATACCTATATTCCTTGTCGCTTGTTGTATTGTGACCGCAATTAAATACAACGAATAGAACAGGCATTGTATCAAAATAATAGCGAAATCGACTAACGAGATGAAGTTCATGTATATCAATTAAGATGGCAGACCACTAATTTGCATAAGAGCTGTGACGTATATTGAAAACTAGCAATTTTAGTTTAAATGCATGTATTTGATTTTGTGTGCATGTATATGATTTTTTATGTGTGCGACTAATTTTGTATGCGCGTGTGTGATTTTATATGCGTGTATTTGATTTTGTAAACGTGTGTGCAATTATGTGTCAGTGCATGTTATTGATTTCGTATGCGTGTTTGCACTTGTGGGCCACCATACGATACGATACCAAATTTAATCACTCATAGTGTCTACAAGATTAGCAGTTTTAAAAATTTTAAACCTGCTTTATTGAGTAAGATATAATTTCAATCATGAATTAATCAAGACCTTTTATATGTGTTTATTCCTTTCTTTGATTTTTAGAAAACATAGGTTTAGGCTCTACTCGATGTCTTCTTCTTGCTTGGTAAACATGCTTTAGGTTTTCGACTACCTTGATATGTGTCGCAAATAAGCTTGATGAGATTTTCTGTAGCTGCAGTTTGAATACTTTCCGTGTGTACCCCATTTAAGGTTACCCAAGGTACATATTTTTGTGGTGGGTCGAGAGCCATGGTTTTCTTAGCCATTTTGTGTTCTAACTTATTGCCAACACGACCTTTTACGCATGAGATGATTTGAGAATAGTCTAAACCGAATTTTTTTGCACATTTATGAGCGATATTTCGAGGCAATGAATTTGATGACTCGATGCAGTAGATAAAAGGCATAAAGGCAGAGGCATTTTTGTTGTAGTGTATAGCACATGTCTCAATTAAGTTTCCATGGCATTCTTCCTTGCCGTGTTGACACATAAATTTCCACCTGTTGCCTTTCTTTATCTCGATTGCGTTGCCGTACGGCACAATGGCCAAATTCATTATTTCACCAATGGCTTTAAATGAGGGCCATAATTTATTGTTAACAAATTCCCTGCAATAAGGACACAGGCTTTCCATGTAAAGCGTAAAGTTCACAAGCTCGGCTTTTGATTTAGAGTGGGATGAAAAATACAAATCACATTGCTTTTCGACGTTGCATTTTATTGCAACTTGACGCGATGAACACCAAACGCTTGGCGGTAAGTTACAAGATATTGCCGATGCGTGGGCTGTTACGCTCGTTACGACAAAAATTGCAACAAAAACTACTTTAATATCCATTTTGGTGTTGTTGTAAACAATGGCAAGAAAATCGTTGTTGACGTCAGGCGTAGTACTATTGCTTGTTAATTATGATGACACCTGCAAAGTTATAAAGGCGGAAGTATGTCGTGCTGTTTCATTTTTTACATTACTTAACTTATACAGATCTCTTTCATCAAAAAGACATAATTTAAATGGTTAGGATTGCACTTAAGACTTAAATAACTCAATTGCACGTGACAATTCACTCAAAAGCTCGGGTGGCTATATGAAAAACAGCTTAAGAGTAATATATTATGTTGCTTTATAGGCTCTTGCTAAGCAAATGTTTTAATATGTCTTTATTTTCATGAAATTTCTTATGAAAAAATCGCTTTCTATCAAGCATGTTTATTCATCTCCAAAGCTCATACTTGGTCATTTTTATTTGTAATGTGATAAATGATGACTTCTGAAGCGTCAACATAGAAGAATAATGAGTCTGACATTTTCATTTAGGTGCGTTCTGCTGCAGAAGCCAAAGCTGATAAGAAATTTGAGGAATACTTAAGAAATAAAAGGGGTTTATGGTATTTGCATAGGTTTATGCAAACCGAGGAGACATTTGGAAGATTTCGAAAGCAGATCAGTGTAACTCTGAGACCGAAGGTCGAGGTTTGCACCAGCTCGAGAGTTCTCACAAACTTCTCCAAGGATTGCATAAGCCAGTGCAAACACGAAAAACATCTTTTATTTCTTTTATAAACTAAAATAATGGGAAAAATTATGATCGATTTGCAAATTCTCTTTGACTGGTTGATTGTTTCGATTGATTTGATTGGTTGAGCTCAGATGTGTTTTGCACAGGCTAATGCAAACACAGCTCTAAGCCTGTCTGTCCACACGTTTTCAACTATTGTAGCACTTTTCTCCTTTGCGCGTTAGCACAAAGCATCTATGCGTCTGCAGATTCGTTTATGGGACTGTATGCTATCCAATTGTATGCGCAGTCGACACACAATTTTCAATTTTACTTAATAGAACTATTCCAATAAAACCATTGCACATCACAGACAATCTTAAACATTTCAAGCTTTTACATTCACAGCCAGGGACAGAAGAAGACTCACTTTTTACGTGTAACAACTAATAAATGTTTTTCATAGTGCATCAGCGTGGCAGCACACTATTCTTGACAAGACTCGGCCCATTCGCCTGCGGGACCTACATACTGGTGAAATCTCGATTCGTGTCTGTCTGTCTGTTAACGATTCTGGGGGGGACTATACAGAATGAGGGGGAGCGGATCATTCGCGGCCAGTGTTCGCAGCTCGCGCATTTTTCTTTCCATGTGTTTATATATAATTTCGAAGACCGGAAGTCGTAAAAAATACAAGAAAAAGGCTGGAAATTGTTTGGAAAAAGTTTGGTAAGCAAAAATACTTCAATAAATGGCTAATCTATAAATTGAAGGAAGTTTACATTAATGCATCAAGGTGATGAACATTTTAGTGTTCAATCGAGAGGTAAGCAATGTGCTTTCATGCGTTTATCGGCAGTTTTGACTGCCGAAAATATTTCTATTGTAGCTTGGTCTAAATCAACATTAGATAATGTCTTACTGCATGGAGATAAAATGTATTCGTTAGCTTTAAAGAACTATGAAATTGTTCAGGATCTAGGTGATGAATTTTTGTCAGTGGATGACTTACCTAAAGTTGTTATGTGTCATGTTGTAAGAGCATATTTTCTTACGAAATTGAATTTCCCATGGTGACAGCAGATAGTACTCTATATATACTAAGCCCTTAATGACCGAGCGCGAGGTCTTTTTGTACAGACTGAGCCCGTAGGGCGACGTTTGTACAAAAAGACAGAGGTCCGACATTTCTCAGTAAAGACCGAGAAAGCAAGGCATTATTTGACTTGAGACGAAGCTTGCTTTCTTTCTCGGCCTTGCTGTTTTTTACCGGTCGGTTTTCACTTTTCTACTTTTCGGCCATAAAAAGTAAAAGTAAATCGGCCATAAAAATTGTCTCGTCTGGATAGTCAAACTGTTTTCCAAATATTTTCCCTTGGAATCACATTTGTAAAAGATTTTTTGTTCGTTTATTTTGCATTTTGCAGTTTGCTTTACGAAGTTTGTTTACATTTGACAGTAAAATTACGCGTTTTTGGACCGTGGTCGATTACGGGAAAATAATGCAAAAATGTTTCTGAGCCAATCAAAGCGCACCATTTTGTCGGAAGTTACGCTTGCCATATAATAATAAATGATAATGAACTACTTATCGTTGTAGACAAGTAAGGCACAAAATTGCAAACAAATACCTGTTTAGGCAAAGCCCATTGAGGCACAAAATAACACTGAACTACCTATTGAGATGGAGACTATTGAGGCTCAAAATAACACTGATTTACCTATTGTGGTAAAGCCCATTGAGGCACAAAATAACACTGAACTACCTATTGAGGTAGAGACTATTAAGGTATAGAATAACCCAGAACTACCTGTGATTGAAGAAAACAATGAAGTAATTGCATGTGCAAAAAACAATGACCCACCAAGGGTGGTACAACCCTTCGGTAATAAACTGATTTGTTTTATAAATTATGAACAAAAGCTGCAAGGTCTTGTAATAACTAACCGTGAAGTTGAATCTCGCTACTATACCATTCATTCAGCACTTTTGAATACATTCATGAAGCATAGCTATGCTATATTAATATTAGATGGCTATATAATGGCTATAATAAAACGATCAAACTATTTTTACTTATTTGATTCTCATGCCAGAGACTTAAATGGCATGCTAGATCTTAATGGCACTGCAGTTGTCCTAAAATTTACATGTATTCTGGAGTTAGAGCATTTTTTGTGTTCTCTTGCAAATAACCTACATGTCAATGTATTTGAAATAGTACCTATTCTTGTTACAAAAAGTAATGTAAAACCTATAATAGGTAATGAAACTGACTGTAAGCAACAAATCAGACTTAGAAAAGTAAATGAGTCCATGAAAAGAAAGCGGTCAGAGGAAACCGACTATGCTAAACAGAATAGACTTGAGAAAGATAGACTGCCTAAAAGACAAAAGAGGTCAGTCGAAACTAGCTTTGAGCGACAATCCAGAGTTATCTATGATAAACAGTCTAAACGACAAAAAAGGTCCGTTGAAACTGATATTGAGCGGCTAGCCAGTCTGGAGAAAGATAGACAGTCTAAAAAACAAAAGCGGGCAACAATATTGTCACAATCTCAACAGAGAATAAATCAACAAGATTATTTGAATGATTTTGACAACACTAACTTGGTGGTCTGGAATATGGACAAGTCTCATAAGTCAGTGCAATATATTGTTAGTCATTGTACAATTTGTCATGAGGCATGGCCCCTTAAATCTAAACCAACATCAACTTATGTGTGTTCACGATGCTCTAAAGACAAAAAATATCATAGAAAGTTCTCATTTGAAAACTCCATGATTCCCTCATCTGTCGCAGAAGAACTGCAAAACTTAACTCAAGTTGAAGAAATGTTAATTGCTCGGGCATTTCCAATTATGAGAGTTAATGAGAGATGTTAAATCAGGTGATCAACGAGGTTATTCAGGGCATTGTATCATATTGCCACAAAATGTCACAGAACTTACCAAATTTTGCCATGATATCCTAAAGATTTGGCTGTAATTATCATCAAAGTTAAAGGCAAGGACAACACATTTAAAGATGTGATAGTGAGAAAACAAAAAGTATACAATGCTTTAGATTGGTTGAAGAGCAATAACCCACACTATTCTGAAATATTAATTAATGACAATGCATTGAGTTTGTTGCCTGCGAATGGTGTACCGCCAGAGCTTATGACTGTGGAGACAGATGATAATATTGCTTCTGAGATTAGCTCTTCACCTGATATGGATCCTCCTACTGATAATCCTTCTAAGGATATTGTTTACAATGACTAAACAGATATGAGTAGTTTTTTACCTGTTGGTGAGCAGCAACAACAGGAAGTTGAAATTGCCAAAAATAAGCCTAATGCAAATGACCCAATGTTATGGCATACAGTTGAAAATGAGCCAATAAATGAGTATCAAATTTCGCATTTAGCCACAATGGCTTTCCCAACGTTATTTCCTGATGGAAAAGGTGATTGTACTAATCAAGCGATTTTAAGAGAAGTTCCTCTTCAAGAACAAATAAAGCATCTTTTAAAGTTTGCTGAAATTATTGATGGTAAATGGGTATACCGTTTTGCAAATCACCCTTGATTTTCGTATTGGGTTTTTAATATGCTTCAAAGGAGACGAATTTTACAACAAAGTGGTCTTCTTGAGGCAAAATCCAGGTGAAGCTCATCTCACCATAGATGAACTGCGTCAAATGGCAGCCAGTAGCAGTGCTAATATTTTCATGTCTAAACTTTTCAGATGTGTTAAGAATATTACAGGGTGAAATGCTTACTGGAATTGAGTTCGAGAAAAGTTGAAAGCCATGCAATATTATAAATGTTGGATCACCAACATTATTTTTTACATTCTCCTCAGCAGATATGCATTGGCCAGAGTTACATGCAGTATTTAACGCTAATAATGATGGTGAACGTTCTCAAACCACCATGAGACAAGGCGACAAAACGTCATAAGAAACCTCATTTTGTGGATTGGTTTTTCACACAAAGATGCACGCTTTATCAAACATTGGCTTTTTGAAACACTTGGTGCAAAATGGCACTGCTTCAGATATGAGTACCAAGGTAGAGGCAGTATACATTGTCATGGAACTGCTAAGCTGAAAAATGACCCACGTTTGTGTCAACTTACTGAAACTGACTTAAAAGGTTTCTTAGCACAAAAATTTAAAGATGAAAATGATTGTTTTGATACAGAGCTGCTGAGACTGTGTGTCAGTATGTTGATGTCAGTATGTTGATGTCATCATGTTGATTGGTTATTGTCAACCATCAATCTAAATCCACCAGATGAAGACATTTGGATAAGACCCAAGGTTCATTCATGTCGACGACCTCATAAAGATATCCCTGAATATGAAAAACAATCAGATTATGAAGATCTTGTGAACATGGCTCAACAACACACTCGTTGTAGCACAGGTTCCTGTCTTAAGAAAAAGGCAAATGAAGCAGAATTGAAATGTCGATTTCGTTTTCCATTGGAACATAATGCCAAGACAAAATTAGAATTTAAAAAAATTCACACTAAAGATGTTGATAATCATTACAGGAAAGTTGTAACTAAGCAAAATGATGCATGGTTGAATAATCATCAACAACTTCAACCCCAAGGATGGAGAGCCAATTACGATATACTAGTTGTAATCGATCACTATGCTTGTGTTGAATATCTGACGAAATATGCAGCTAAAGGTGAATAAAGATCTCCTTTGTTAACGCAAGCATTCAATTCTATTTTTCAAAATGTAGATTGGCTAATAATGAGCCTCACCGAGCTGTTAAAAAAATCGTCATGAAATCTCTTGGTGAAAGAGATGATGCAGCGCAAGAGACTATGCATCATTTGTTGTCACTAAACTCCGCAGTTCATCATTTAATGTGATTCCAGTAAGTCTAAACGGTTCACGTAGAGTGCGTGAAAGTGTTGCAGAAGTGAATCGTGCACCGATCGTTCTCTTCTTGATGTATACGCCAATCGTCATGAATATGATAGTTCACAAGATGTATTGACTATGAACTTTTTCCAATTTGCTACAACGTACAAAGTTGTAAAAAATAAACTTGGAAATCTGCCTGAAAATGTTGTACCAAGAATATTTCCAACATATTCTCCAAATCCAAGAGGTCAAAACTTTTGACTCTATTGCAAATACCAACTTTTAAGGTACAAACCTTGGAGAAGGTCTCAGAATAACGTATGGGTTGATGAGGAAACCCTACTGACGAGACTTTCATCAACTCTTGGAAGAATTTTTGCAAACATCTTATGGACAAAAGAATGTCCCTGATTAGTTTGACAAGTTACAAGCTGTCATTATAAGTGAACAATCGGAAGCTGAGTCTTCTGAACAACCAGAGATAACTCGAGAAGAATGGATGATTATATCAGACCTTCATACACCTTTTAACCAATCAGATTAAATGCCAGAGTTGGTGAATGACTGGTATGCTGACAGTAATAATTACTCTGAACAACAAATCCATGAATTGCCATCATGGTTAAAAACAAAAATGAAAGAATTCTCTGTGGATGAGCAATATGATGATGTTGATATTGACACATTCAGTGAAATGCAAAAAAATGCCTATGACATTGTCAAATCTTGTTTTTATGACACAAAGCTAGATAAAGAGCCATTGTGTTTAATAAAAAATGGTGTAGCGGGAACTGGTAAGAGTTACCTAATTAATGGAATTGAAAATTTGTTACAAAGCACATGTGCTATTGCCGCCACAACTGGAAAAGCAGCGTATAATATACGAGTAACGACAATTCATTCCTTATTGAAGTTACCGATAGGATCACGAGGTAAGAAAGACGTAACAGGACAAAGCTTGTGTAGATTACAAGAGAATTTGATTAATATACAATAGTGTATATTATACAATATGGTATATTGGTTGTTATGGTAAAGTATTTGGAAGAATTTCATTAATTTTAACTGGCGATCGAGGTAAGTTACCACCAGTTGCTGATAAGCCTCTCTATCATGCAAAACCATCTAGTGCAGTTGGCGACCAAGGCTTTCAAGCATATTTAATGTTTGATAAAGTTGTTAAACTTACAGAGAATCAACGAGTGCAAGGTATGGCACCTGAACAAATCACTTTTAGAAAGTTATTGTTGAGACTTCGCAAAGGCGAGTCAACACTTGATGATTGGAAATTGCATCTTTCTCGTCAACCTTCCAGAGTCTCAAACATACAAGTATTCGAAGATGCTACTAGACTTTTCTATAGCAATGAACAAGTTGCAAGTTACAATCATGATCAACTAATAAAGCTTGAGCATCCAACTACACAAATTAATGCTCGCCATTCATCAGAAATCGCAAAAAAGATTTCCTCTGATGACATGTCCGGTTTAGAACCAGTTGTTTTTCTGGCAAAAGGGCCAGAGTTATGCTAACCATGAATTTGTGGTCAACTGTAGGGCTCTGTAATGAAGCTACGGAAAAAGTTGTTGATACTATTTTTCAGGACAACCATCAACCACAAGACTTGCCTATTGCAATCATAATTGAGTTTGAAAACTATAGAGGTTATGCTTTTAAAGCAGACAAACCATTTTGTGTTCCTATATGTCCAATCACAGTCTCTTTACAATTAGAAACTGGTTTTCACGAGAGGCAACAGCTACCTCTAGGACTCGTTCTAGCAATACACTAGAGCCAAGGACTAACTCTTCCTAAAGAGTGGATAGATATTGGCAAGTCTGAAAAAACTGCTGGAGTTTCATACGTTGCAATAAGAAGAGTAAAATCAATTTCAATTTGTGTCATTGAACCAATGACATATGAACGATTAACAAGCTTGAAATAATCAGCTAATTTACAATACAGGCTTGAAGAGGAAAACCACCTAGATAATTTAGCACAGACTTCTTACAGCAGTGCACTTAAATGAACAAACTCTACAGTTTGCAAAAGACACAGGATTCTCCTGTAGGTCCCATTCATCTTTGTTTAATGTAATGTGTAATCAGTCCTGTACAACAAATCAATTTCATGTCCATAATCACTGTATGTATAATGTTTGCAAATAAGATCATCAGCAAAAACAATAAAAGGTAAGTTATTTTTTCGAGCTTAGTATATTGTTTTCTCACACTCAAGTGCAAGTGATAGTGCAAGTGTTTTTAAATACAATCTTTTTTTGTAGATTTCTACATGTACTTATGAAGAACTGGGTTATTAATCACAAAGCCATCACACTTTCAAAACACTACGATTTATCACTTTCAATAATGGGAATGCCATGAATAATGAGAATTAGCTTGTCTTTGTTCAATGACTAAGTATACAAGTTATTGCGGCTTGTTGTTGTGTTTTTACTTTGTCCATTCGTTATTGTGTTGTTTATGGCAGATGATAAATGATGGAAAACACGCAGTAGCAAATTGTAAATAGCAGTTTTAGCCCACTGGATGGGGGCAGAGGCAGCACTTCCCTTGTGTTAGTAACTCCTAGTTTTAAGTCACGATATTTGGGCAGGTAAAAAAATATGCTCAAAGAAAAGCAGTTTTCCCTTTATACGATATGTCAAACATATCAACTTAGCAAGTTCCAAAAGAAAATTTTAAGTGTAAATTAAGTTGATATGTTAACATAATATAACAAATGTGCTACTTTGCGATTTCATTTCAACACCAACGCCCAAACGCCCCCGTGTCTACATTGAAATGGCCTGGGATTTCCTTCGGGAAAAAATGTCTCTTGAATGTTCTTGTTTTCCACTAAAAATTGATGCACCTCTCGTAACTTAGTGCAGAAATTTGCGGGCTCACAATGTGGTGAAGTTGAGAATGTCTGAAAGATAAAAGCAGCATCTTTGTAGGATTTTATAATGCTATTTATGTTGTCTGCATACAGAATAGGGCAAGTTAACAACTCTTAAACAACAATCAGCTAAACGAAGTGGTCATTGTTATTCAATTATTAGCAATTACTTTCGAACAAGGTTGTATGCAAATTGTCACAAAAAAACAACAGTTATATAAAGGGAAATTCTGGGTATCAGCTGACAGATTAATGATGAAGAAAATATTATACCTCAGTAAGAAGGTCTTCATCGGAAAGATTGGCAATAATTCTAGAGGTCTTGCGAGGAAAACATTCTTCAAAAGGTGTTATTCTTATTTCTCGGTTAAGAGAACAATACACTTGCCTCACTAACTGCAAGAAAGACATTCATGTTCCATGTTGGATCACAATGGAATTCATCGTAGACCGCAGAAGATGGATGATTGGAGTGGTGTATTTTTTCAAATATGCACGTATGCTCTACCTTATTGATTTCTATTGAAATCAATTCTAATTACAGATTATAACTAATGAATATTTATAAATACTAACAGTAAAGCGCGTAGACTGATTGGTGAATAGCTGAGTTTGCATTAGCCTGTGCAAATCATAGAGTTCTATATTAACTGGAGCAGCTATCTCTGTCACGGCTTCAAATGTCAGATAATGCCGAAAATGGAGAATTTTGTCCACTTCCGCTGATATTTACCAAAATTGACCGCTTTTCATAAAATTTTACAATCCCCCCCTGAAGATAACGTGTGTAATATGTGTATAATTAGCTTTGCGATTTAACAAAATTTATGATGAAAATAAAGGTACAAAACCAACAATTCATAACAGCGTTTAAACTGTGGTTCAGGGTTTATTGCTTCCCACGAGGAAAGCTTTTGATTTTTCTTGCCAAGAATGCAGATGTGCGACGTTTTATTAATGGCTCAATCAAATAAATATTTTTGCTCGATGAAACTTTATACAAAGGAAAAGTATTTCATAGTTTAGTTCTACATTCATGACAGAGATGTTATTTTCTTCATTTTCGTTACTTTTTTTCCACCCAAAGACTTTTTAAAGAGAACTAAAGCGTCTTTTGTCAAGAACTTGCAATAGACACTCCACTAAAATAACTTAATACAGATATGACATGATTCTACATAGAAACCAATGGATTTTATAATTTGAAATTGTGCATTTGGAGTAAATTATCATTAATCCTAGTACCAATAACAATTTTCCAATGGTCTTTTCAGACGTCTACGAAAAATTGTCGGTGCTGCACGATATTTACAATACACTAATAGCAAGCTTATCCTCACTTCATGTTGTCAGCAAAATGATTAAATTAAACTTTGTTCAGCTTCGTAAATACTGTAAGAAGTTACTTTTTCTCAAAGTAATCTATCCACTAAGTTGGGCAGAAGTCTTTCTTTGGGTCAGAAACTATTTTAAACGGATTGGTAGATTTAGCTACGGTGTCATACGTTGACAAAACATATGAATAGAAAACTATGTTGAATTTTATTAACAAAAACAGAAAAAAATCAGTGTATACTGCATTCGAAGTTCAAATCTATGTTTTTGACAACGGCCATACGGAGTTTGTCATTATTGTAGCTTTACAAGCAAACATCTCACCTTTGATAAACAAAATGTTCCTTTTTGTGGACACAACAATTGAAAAGTTTTAAATTTTGGAAACTGTAAAAGGAATTTGAAGTTTCATGATTGTTTTTGAAACATTTTAAACATTTTACAAATTTTAAACATTTTGAGCGTAGACACTAGGGGGAAGTCGAGAATATTTTTTCTGTAAAGTAGTGATTTCAATGAAAATAGTTCCAGTGATCGCTGTTTTTCTGGATCATCGTCCCAGTCCACTTAGCCACTCCACTTATTATAGAACTCTGTGGTGCAAAACGATCTGAGCTCAACCAATTAAACCAATTAAAAGAAAAGACATATCAATCATAAATACATGTAAGATGAAAAATTATAGCAATTTTTTACATTTTTCTGTTTCACACTATTGAAAATGCTAGTTGTTATCATTAATATGTTGTTTCTTATTGTTACATTGTTGTTGTTAAAATGCTATTTACGAGTGAAATGCAAAGAGACTTTTGGGAAAACTCAACCTTCGAGTTTTACATTTTAAAGAGAGACGAACTTCCGGTCAGCAAGTTTGTTTCAATATAAAGAGACAAAATAACATCAGGGACATAAACGATATTGGACGACATAAGAACACATTGAGAAAAATTTAATTTACACAGATAAAGAAGTATCTTTCACTGAACTTTACTTTACCTGTTTCTTAGCATACAAAGCCGCATGACGTAATGTTTCATCTGGTATTTGGCATTGAAACTGCTCAAAAACTGGGGAAATCTGACCAGTTGATACATCCATCCCTAATAATTAGAAGATGAATTTTGCAAACTTAAACCGCTCTACTAGAAAACAAATATTCGTTTGCAGTTGATTTAGAAATCGAAATAAGAAAGGTGTGCTCTTACCCTTGGCTTTTAAAGTCTAACTATAAAATGAGTTTTACGGTAATGCTTTGCGCGCTTGTGTTTACTTCTATTAATAAATTCCGCTATCGAATACAGAGTTGCATAAATAATCACCCACAATATTGCAAAAAAAGATCGGAATTTAAATAAGATCCAGACTTGACTGTGCCGCGTTAGGAAGAAGTAGAAGATTTAAACTATTACGTATCACCAATTCAACAACCTTATCATGAAGAACACGGTGTAGTGCAAACTGTTACAAACAAACTCGACCCACGTACAAGCCTTTGCACATCGATTGACAAACAAGCTCAAGAATTCCGTTCTAGCTAATCAAATATAAATAAATCCTTATTTAATTCATTTCTTGGCCGACCATCAATTTACCAGACTTAGAAATCGAAGTAGGCATATCGCTGCACTGACAACCTAATTTGCCGACATTTTAGGGTGCCCCGAAAATGGCTGCATGTGCATGGCTAAGCGCGCAAAGCATTACCGTGAGACTCATTTTGTAAACTATAGATTTTGAAATTGGCAAACGGTATACCTACCTAATCCATAGATTTTGGGAACATGTTGACCTTTAAGGATTGTATCATTTACAGCTGTGAAAATAAAAACAAATGATTACTTTGCAATAATTGCTGTATTTATGCACCTTAATGTTCATAAACTAAGGAATATAACTTTTGAACATATAACCCACAGGTGCATGAACTTTTGCAAACTACGTGCACATGTCGAATACGTATCTTTGTCACGAACATGTAGATGCAAAATTTTTTTTTCATGAAATTAAACATTAAACTTTTAAAGGCCTGTTTACACGATCCGATTTTGTCGGATGTAAAAAAACGGATAGTGTGAACATGTTTAAAGTGAGCCTCAAAAACCGGATGGAAATAGAACTTGCTCTATTTTCATCGGACAAGATCAAAGGAGGCCGATTAGCCTCAAACTTTTTACTCTCTATACCTCCCAAATTTGATTGCCACAAGAAATTAGATTTGAAAAAGACTTGAAAACAAGAATAAAAAATACACAAATATATCGATGAATGTAATAGATAACACATAATGCTGCTTTCAAGACTATAAACATATAAGCGAATATAAATGTCAACAAAATTATCCGACCGTATGAACAAGCAACCAAAAGTCGGAACCGAAACAATCGGATCGTGTAAACGGGCATTAACACCAACAGCAATTAAAATCTGCAAAAAATGCACTCATGTATGAGTTTAGCACAGTGTTCATTGACAAGGCTTTGAATTTTTCCAAAATTAATCGATTTTTAAAGGTCTCCTTGTTTTTTATATACCCCTTATGCTTTGTAACAAAATGATAAATAAATATATCTATAAATAATGTGCATACGTAAAACGTTTATATAATTGGGTTTTATCATTGTGAGGACGGGTTGATTGACGCACTTTGAAATTGGCAATCGGCAATCTACAACTATACTCTTTATATACAGTATATATAACAATAATAACTTTCATAAAGTAGAGTTATAATTTGGCAACAGTAACAAAACAAATTGAAGATTAGTTGAAGAAAAAATTCGCTGTAAACGCCCAGGGGTTAAGATTGAAAAGAGAAATGTGAAAAAGCATTCAAAACATTACATTTAACTAGAGATTTATATTTTGATTTAGATTTTAGAAATCAAGAGAATTAATTAATAGAGTTTATTGAAGCAAAAAGATAATGGAGTCAGGTAAACTTCCTGTCGAAAAATGCAACTTATGAGGTGAGGCGCTAATCCAGTTTCGAAAAAAGCACCCGACATAGCTAAATGCTATAAATGCTAGAGTGATGCCAATTTTGGTTAACAACAGTACCACCACAAAAGAGGCATGCATGGCATGCCCTTTACCAGTATTTCTTTATCTCTAAAATAGTTGAAAAACAGCACTACTAGCTAATATATGTAGCTATAATTATCTGCACTTACCACAAACACAAGCACACACTAACTCGACGTCAACTGAAAAATTCATTACAACACCTAAAATAAGTATATGAATTGAGTGAATAACTTGAATGTGTTTGTAACAAACCAAACGAGTTGCTATAACAAGGACGAACAGACTAAAGGTTTGATCAAAAGGATAGACTAATGGCATGGTTAGCTTGTTGCGAAAACAAATCTGAACATATTACAGAGTTTATGTAGTGGTTAGGGTACTCGCGTGATTTGTTTCTAGGCCTTCCAATTTTAAGGCCTGTCCATAATGCAATGAAAAAGTCAGTTATGAAGGACAATAAATGATCATCAAGTTTAGCCAGCACATATTGAAAATTATATAAAGCACATAACTGTCTTTTTTGTTGAGCTCGTTGCTATGGAACGCAGTGAAATTGAAAATTAACAACACTACAATCAGAAGTCAGTCTACGGTTAGATAAATTATATATAGCCACTATAGTTTTTAATTCAAAAAAAATTTTTTGCATTATTATTTCCTATGTAAAATGTTCAATTATTTGCATTGGTATTTCCTATTCTTTGCACTGGTATTTACTAAAAATTGCACTGCAAACTTACCAGAATTAATATATTTTTTATGCGTATTATTACAGATATTAATCGACTTTTGGTTGGTTGATTGTAGTGCAGTTTGTATGCATTTGCATTGTGAAAATATGTAATTGCACTGTAAAAAAATGTAACTTGATTGTCTGAAAAGTAGCGAAAGCCAAACAAGCTACAATTATATTTAAAAAAAAGGCAGTTGTAAGAAGCTAAAAAAGATTTCCATATTTGCAATCGGGTTAAATTAAAGTATTAGATAAAAATTCAAAGAATAAAAGCACAACAGCAAGTACTGTTTTTTTGAATGATTATAAAATTGAGAAAAAAGGCTTTTAAACCGTTGAGAGTTACCTACGCAGTGAGACAGATGTAGACGGCGTTGTGCAAAACATCTCAAAATATATTATGGGCAAGTTAAATAGAATAGTTTCTTGTGAATTACGGCAAAACATACACTTTCAAGTAGCTAACTCACTAGCGCTCAATTATCCGTAATTGTACTCGAAACTATATCACAGAATAAGATATACAGAAGAGTCACTCGTGTCGGAACCTCTGATGTTTTTGTCGTCGTGCATGTCGTGCCGCGCATGGTGGCCGCCAATATTCCAGCCAGATGATTAGGGTTTTTGACTTTTTCCAAACCTTTAAAATAATCCGAAGCCATTTCTTAAGTCAAAATATACTTGAATTCATTATTCAGTATTGACGTCATGTAATTTTATTGGTTGTGTAAAAAAGTGAGAAATGCTAATCATCTGGCTGAAATAATGGCCGACATGAGGATGCGTTGTACACCTTCTGTATAATCATTATTCTGTGACTATACCATTATTTATTGTCATTAATTAATTTTGTCTAACAAAGGATGGGCAGTGAACTCTATGAAAAGACTGGAACGATAACTCCAATACAGAAGCCATATGACAAAATGAAGCCAATACGGAGTGATTTTTTGTAGGAAAAAATACGCGTGTTGTGTTCGTGGATTACCACGAATATATAAAACACGCCTACATGGCAATGTTTTCACAATATGTTGTGTGAGTTTTACTTTTAAAAAACATTGAATACGTAGTGTTTTTAAAGTGCAAACCTTATAGGATTTTAGCATAGTTTGAAAGAGCAGTACTCGAAAACTACAAATTTAAAAAAAAACAAATGAATTGAGATCAAAGCTTTCTTCGCAATTGCAGTTTAAAAGTCCAGATTTTCAATACATTTTTTCCCAATGGGGTCTGGTATCTAGTACATGTTGTGACGTCATGTAAGGAACACAGTCGCGTAGGCTCCATTAAAAACAAGTTATTTGCTTTTTAAAATAATCAATAGTTTTGCCGATATTTCGAATTTTGCGTCGTTTTTTTTTCAAAATGTCCTCATCTGGTCGGAAACATCATCTTCAGATTCATCAGAAAAAGCAAATTATGATATAGAGTGGGAGGACAGTCTTTTAACGGTGTCTGTCCTTGCAACTTGGTATATTGCCTTGCAAATACATGGGCATTTGGCATGATGTGCAATAGTAAAGAAAGTAGCTTGTTAAATTATTATAATGTTCAGGAAGCGATTACTTACATGTCGTCACCCGACCGCGCAGGCCCAGTCCTTTAGCGGTAAAACCAAGGGCTTAAATGGTATATTTTTGCAACTTTGATAGACTGTACAGCGCAAAATATTTGTCTGATTTAAAGTTTAAAGTGCATATAAACCACGTAAGGTTTATATGCACTTTAAACTTTACGATTGTTATGTAAAAAAAGCTTTAATGACATATTCATTTTTCTGAAAAAATAAGCTGTGACAAACGGAATACAGCAACGAACAGTCATTTGAAGATGTTGACGATTATTGTTTTTAGTCGGAAAATGTTTACATGACTCGAGAGCTTTAGTTTTCGGTTAAAACGCTGATTTTTTCTGACAAACAGCTAACATTGATCGAAATTATTGTAAAGGTAAGATATACGTAAAAATGACATTTCATTGCTTGTTTTTTTCATCAAATTCCTCGTAGACAATGAGAAAAACAATGTTTTGAAAACATTACGGCTTACTTTTTCGCCGAACGTGCCTTCTTTCATCCGAAACATCCCCAGTCAGCAAAGGTCCAAAATTTACATATTCTTAGAAAGCCATCAGCTATTTTTGCCCTCTGGTAAAATAAAGCTTGATTTAGCTCAACAAACGAAAGAACAAAACGTATACTAAATTATACAATAACCAGAAGAATTTGAGCAATTTTATTGGTCGAGAGCTATCATCTATAAGAGGAAATACGCACGGAATTGACGTCACAGAAAGATTCATGTTTATAAAAACAAAGAAATGGTGGATATATTTGAAAATTTATCGCAATACCTTCCTGAATGGGAAAAAAAAGATATTCACGAAGACCCAGTCCCGGCGGCTCGTGGTCACTTTTTTAGTTTTTATCACAATCGACGTCATACCCGTGTATCTATAACTGTATAGACAACGGTTAAATGTTATCTAGTTGTTAAGTCGCTCATTGTTTTTCATACGGAAAATGAACTATACCGCGCGTACCATATAGACTGAATCATACCTAAAAATAAGCATCATGCTTCGCTTCAAACATGGCGGCGAAGTTATCTTTCCACTTATTTAATGAGTTCACTGAAGATGGGTCTCCCAGGTCACAACGTCGAAATATCATGGACATAGCAAGTAGTAACCGTACAAGTCCATGTTTTTGCTCGTAACGCATAACAGTAGTAATTTGCACAAGCGTTTTTTATAAGGCAAGAAAGAACATTTGACTCAATACTACTACGTTGCACTAAAATAACGCAAACAGTGGAATATTAGTGAGATTAAGGTACATGAATGTAAGAAAGTGCCTTGCACACATTAACGTTATGCAACCTACTCAATATCTTCATAAAGAGGTTTTCTGACATTCTGCGACTGTCCAAAAATCCACCAACGATGTGTAGCTGAAACCTATAACACCAAGGAGTCATTTAATGTATTTTTACACTCATGGACACAGTAAATATTAACCTTGTGAGATAGGCTGCACTTCTTCACGCAAAGTAGTGAGGTCAAAACCATAAGCAACAATTAAGATATAAATAAAATGGGCTACGAATTGAATGAAATATAACTGGAAGGCTACTTTCTGATTCATCGGTAACACACGAATTGAAGCCAAAATTTGCGTGTTATGACTCCCAGACACATGGAATGATGTCAATAAACAATACGTCTAAGAAGAATTCGGCAAAGCAACAGAAATGAAGATTATCGGATTTTTTACAGCCTTTTCCCGTGTTAATAAATACAGGAAATTGAAGTTTCCTTCCATCCAAACATTTTTTCATTCGGGAAACTTGGAAATGGCAAAAGTTTACACTTTAAAGAATATAGATTTGTTTATGATCAGATGCTCTTGGATTGTGTTTTTGTGTCAATCTCATTAGTGGTCAAACATTTTAAAAGAAATAAACACCATCATGGGCAGGATTGCAATGACCGCATTTGTCACAGTTCATTAAGTTTTTTTTTCATAAAAACATTTGTTTTAATTGTATTACCGTGAAAATATTGTTATAAATGAGTCGGAGTAAATTACATCTTTCTGAAAGTATTTTTTGCAACTTAATTCAAGCTTTTCACGCAGTTGCTTCAAAAACAATGAAATATTTTATTTTGGTCGCGTTTATCACATGCGTGGAAAGACTGGAAACGATACTGCCAACTTTAGCTTGAAATTTCCGAGTGAATGTATCCCTCGATTTATATTTAGTTGAATGGAGCTGAGGCAATCCTCGGGTCAAGTGCCCTGTAATTCTGCATGTTGTTACTCCGTCGCTCCAATTTTAGGCAATCATAAAACATTACGAAGAATAGGATAATTGTCACGTCTTATGTAAACTTCATAAAATACATAATGCTGTTCTCCTAATCCTCCTAACTAGTGCCGCAGTCTGTGAACTTTGAGAAGACAGAGCAATAAATACACGAAATACTACATCCAACACTCCTAGCTTAAATTAACATATACATATTAACATCAATAATAACACATCACAGTTAATATAGTTTTGGAAATCTTTGCAGGCAGGCTCCATTTCAGGAATTGCTCACCAACATCGTTTGGCAAAGTAAACTTTTCCACCAAAGATAACTAAAACTCTGATTAAATACATCAAAGCTCGCAAAAAGGTTAAAGACATTGAGAGTTTCAAATTACATTTCACTGGTTTGCACTTTGCAGTAGCGGATCCATCTCAAGGCAAAATATATTATAACCGCTAATTTTAAATTTAAAATACCTTTATAACAAAGTCAATGGTTATAAATTTCTATAAAGAATAAAAAATTAGCCAATCGATGCGTTGAAGTAGCTAATTTATTTTGCATATAACTAAAACTGCCCTTGCTGGTTTGTGCATAAAAAGCAACAATTCAAGCAATGCAGGTGAATGGCATTTCTTACAAATCAAGTTTTGATCAAAAAATTATTTTACAACTTGACTGTATCCTTTACCTTTTACGTTGATCTTGATTTTGAGCAAGGGCTTCGAGCGACCCGATCATGTCTATTAACGCCTGTTTCGTGCTCGCACCATCTAAATGGGTTAAACTACAATCTCCTGTACCTGAACAAAAAAAAGTAAGTAAGGCAAAACTTCCAAATAATATATTAAAATTAAGCATTGACACAGTAAGCAACATAATTTTAAATGTATAACGGCAACTTGCAATTGTTCATAAACTCCGACCGCTTGCGATAAACTGACACATTGCTTCAGAATTGAATTTTTTAATTTTCAAGTATTGCAAATTAGAATTTTAGTGCTAAAAGGCCGCTTGCTCGGATTATAATCAGACAGAACTACGATTTGAACGGTGGAAACTTTCTTCGAATGAGTGAGGCGAATGTGCCCTAATTTCATAGGAAATAAACGCCACATAATCGCTAACTTTCAACCTCAATCTGAACTCTGAAATGGTCATTATACGACACAAGTTTAAATGAAAGAGGCATGATCAAGTTTAGAAAGGACAGTTGATACTTGTACGACCTCAATAAAAATTAAGGCACCTACTGAAAAAATGATGCCAAAATCAATAAATTTTGAATACCTCTATATCTTCCCTTAGAGTAAAACCTAGCTGATACGTAGGTTAGCCCATTTAATCAATAATATAGTACAGCTTTTCATAAAAGCTATTAGCTTTGTAGTAGTTAAGGTGCAGGTATGGTCCCGGAAGTAAACGGAGCTCTTACCCGTGTCAATTAGTTTCCAGTCCTAGGAAGTAAACAGGGCGCGCGCGTGTAAACCGGAAACGAACTTAGCGGGGGAATGTTGAATGTGATAGGTTATCATAATAAAGGGAAATGAAACAATTGACAAGAAATATTATCTAATTTATTAAAGCATCCAATAAAATGTGTTAAAGCCCTCATTGTGTATTTCATTACACGATTCACTATATAGTCGAACTATCGTCTTAAAAATGTTATTTGCGTTGTTCATTATTGCATTGCTTTTGGACGTTTTGAAAAAGACAAAAATATGGCACACATGTTTAATCAGATATATGCAGACACTGTTGAGTTTGAAGAAGTTAGTCACAGCGATCTTATCAATTTGATTTTCGTCGATTTTATAAGTAAAAAGATTCAAGAGCTACGAAGAGCTGAAAAGGATGAAAGTAAAGCAGATCCTTGGGTAGAGTATCAAAACGTTTTAGAAATGATGACTGAGGAAGATCGTTGGTTCAATTTTGCAGCTCGAGCAGTCGAAACAATTAATCGCGAACATGTCTGGAATGGAATATGTGAAGCCTTTAAGTTTCTAAAGAACTGTGGACCTTCGAACTCTCACAAGACATATTTTGACAAACTGTTTAGTGCTACTTGGGTAGAACTAATGTTAATTTACACGGAGACAAAACGTCCTCCTTTTTCAACATCTCTTTGACTATGCTGATTGTAGTTGTAAACTGAAATACAAATCAACTATGTAATTGCTTTGACAAAAGAAAAAAAAATATAAATTTCAATGTTATTGCATTTTGACTTCAGTTGTTTTATGACCATGTCATTGTGAAAATGGGAATCGGTAGCAGCAAACGTGAAAATAGAAATGCAAAAAGGGATAAAAATCATAATCGTCAGAAAATGTTTCGCTTGGGTATAAGTTTCGGACGCAACGATCTCAATCTTGAGGGTCATTTGCAAGCAGGATACACAAGTAAAACTGTTAAAAATTATGGACCCGCCGCAATTAAACTTCCAACAGATAATGCGATAGAAGAAACACTGCCTGTAACTGAAAACATTGAACCCGTCGATAATGAGTAGTTAAAAGAAATTGACATCTAATTGCAAAATTATTATCACGAGAACATTGTCATGAGTAACGTTGACCAGTACTTAGCCGGTGTATACTTCAATCCAAAACGTCCTGGAAGCTACGGAGGTGTTGAACGTTTGTACCGCGATGTAAAGGCAGAAGGAATATATGACATTAGTCGTGAAAGAATTAAAGAATGGCTCATGCAACAAGACGCATACTCTTTGCATAAACCTATTCGAAGAAAGTTTGAAAGAAATCGTGTCGTAGTGAGTGGTATTGACGACCAGTGGCAATTGGATCTTGCAGACATGCAATCTTTGCAAAAGTATAATGATGGTTATCGCTATCTTCTTATCTGTATTGATGTTTTTCCAAATATGCATGGGCTGTTCCATTAAAAAGAAAACAGGATCGTCGTTGGTAGAAGCTTTTAAAAGATTTTGTCATCAGGGCGTAAACCGACACACATTCAAACGGATCAAGGCTCGGAGTTTTTAATCGAGACTTTAAGAAACTTTGGCAGAAGAAAACGTTACCTTATTTAATACATTTAACGAGACGAAGGCATCCATCGTTGAACGTTTGATACGTACACTGAAAACTAAAATGTGGCGCTACTTCACAGCAAACAAAACCATGAGATACATTGACATGCTTCCTGATCTACTGTATTCTTATAATCATAGCATGCATCGCAGCATTAAGGAAAAACCGATCAACGTTACAAGTGAAAATGAAGATAGAATTCGGCAAAATCTATACGGGGATAGCAAATTAAATAAACCTATGCATGTAAAATATAAGTTTGATATAGGTAACCAAGTACGATAAGTAAAATAAAACGAAGGTTTGAGAGGGGGTATTTACCGAATTTTTCAAAAGAAATTTTCACTGTAAGTCAAAAAATACCGCGCAATCCTCCTGTATACAGACTGAAAGATCATGAAGGGGACGAACTTCAAGGAACATTTTATGAAAAAGAACTTCAAAAAGTCATCAAGAAAGACGATGTTTATGAGATTGAAAAATACTTAAGAAACGTGGTAGAGGGGCAATGTACAATATTTTGTAAAGTGGTCTGGCTACCCTAACAAATTTAATTCATGGGTACCAGCATCGGAAATACATATATAAAACGTAACCGTTTTCATGATTTTTCATTTCACATTATACCTTAAAGATGAGCGGGACACACTTCTATCTGACATTACCTAGTAATGCATCTCTCTGTATTTCCTGAGAATAAGATTTCAGGTTATCGCGTAAAACTACCTCACGTTGTGAATTTAAATGGTAATTGGGAAGTAGGATTGTATTCAATTACATATCCTCATACATGGTACACGTTGAAAAAAGGTTTGGATACACATATATATGTAACTCACAAAACAGGTCTACCTACTCCGGTATTTGTCGACTATGGCTTGTATGAAAAGCCTTCGACCTAGTAAAATCAGTTAACGAGACTCTTGACAAAGAAGTAAAAGACAATATCAAATTGAGCTTTGACCCCGAACAGAAAAAATTAAAGTGCATGTAAGACAGGGTTACAAAATATCATTTAATCAACGAATGTCGGTCTTACTCGGCTTTGGCGGAAAAGACGTAGAGATTTTAAAACAACCGAAAGTCCTTATGCTTGTGATTTGCACGGATCCGTCATGATGTATGTATATTGCAACATTGTACAACCGCAAGTTGTTGGAGACGTCAATGTAAAATTACTAAAGGCAGTTGCTATTCAAGGAAAATATGGAGACATTGTTTCAAGAACATTCACTAATATCCAATACTTACCCGTGCAAACAAAATCTTTTGAGGACATCGAAATTCTCTTAAGGGACGAGTTAGGAAATCCCATCGCATTTGAACGAGGGAAGTCGATAGTGACACTTCATTTCAGAAAACAATCCTTATCTTATTTTACATAAGAAAAAAATATGAGTAGAACAAACCGTTATGTTCAATATTATCTCAATCAGCAAAAAGGATACGGATCACAACCTGTCTTTAGAGGAGCATCCTGGCAAAAAGGTTATGGGCAGATGGGTTATGGTCTTGGTGGTTTATTTCGTAGATTGGCTAGAGCTGCAATACCTTTGGCAAAAACCGGCGCAAAAGCTCTAGGTAAAATTGCCCTCGATACAGGTGCAAACGTTTTGGGTGATGTTATCTCAGGGAAAAGTTTTAAAAAGTCTGCAAAATCTCGTGTTAATCAAGCAGCAAAAGAAACAGGGAAAAAAGCTGTAAATCGTATGCAACAGTTTCCTCAAACAGTATTAGGAAAACCCCAGAAGAAACAGGAAAAAAACAGCTAAAAGGAGAAAAGCATCGTCTTCTCATGTCATTTACCGTTCGGCCAAGAGACATAAAGCAGCTAAAGAAGTAGAAGATATTTTCGGTTAAATATGGAGTTCGTTTATCCAAAATCAGCAGAATGTACAAAAAATGAACTTGATATATTTTTTGTAGCCCCAACACAAACCAGTTTGGAAAAGGGTGATGGATAAACCATCCACTGCTATCTAGTTTATCTGGAAGCGGTCCGATTACTTTTTTAGCGCCGGGTACAGAAGAATATGTTGACTTGTCTAACACAGTATTGACGGTCAGAGAAAAAGTAACGAAAGCTGACGGTGGAAATCTCGACGATGGCGCTAAAGTAGGACCGGTGAACAATTTCTTGCATAGTTTGTTTAAGCAAGTTGATGTGTTTTTGAAAGGAAGCTAGTAACCCAAGCGACAGGAACTTATCCTTATCGTGCATATATCGATACACTTTTGAATTATGGTCCATCAGCTAAACAATCCCAGCTGACAGCTGCGTTGTTTTACAAGGACGAAGCTTCAAAATGGAGGTTGCCGACCCAGCAAACGCCAGTCCAAACAAAGGCTTGAAAACACGAAGTAAGTTTAGTGCGAGAAGTGCAATTGTCGAAATGGGAGGCCCTATATTTTGTGATGTTTTCTTCGGTGAACGCCTCCTGCTTAGCTATGTTGATTTGAAAGTGGTATTGAACCGTACCAGTGACGAGTTTGCCCTAATGGCATCCGAGGACGATGCAGCATTTAAAGTGAAACTGGTGGATGTTTATCTAAAAGTTCGCAAAGTTAAAGTGAATCCTAGTAGAGCTATGTCTCACGAAGTTGCACTGAAAAAGCCCAGCCGTTTACCCTGTAAGGCGTGTGGACTGCAAAAGTTTCATCATTCCATCAGGAAACCCATCGTTGCAAAAAGATAATCTTTTCAACGGTTTGGTACCGAAATCACTTGTCGTCGGTCTTGTTGCAAG